ATCCATTCCTTATATCTGTTTCTCTCATCTTGCATTTCCCACACTCTTCTTAACTTAATTCTTTCTCATACTAATCATGACTATAAAGTTGCGCTTACTTCAAGTTGCCCAAATGCGTTGCAGGGTAGTCATCGGGTCCGATAGCAGGTCTGCTCTCACTGTCACGATAGACCTCGTTGAAGAAGCGTAGCACAGCTACTCCATCACCCCATGAATGCTCAAAAGTCAAAGCAGCCTGACCACTGGCATTGATTAGCAGAGTAAGAGATTTATCAAACCAACGCGAATCACAGGGACCAGCCACGAAATCTTTTAACTGATTGAGGAAAATATGATTTAAGGTTATAAATATTGAAGTTAGCCTTAATTTAACTAAGATGGCGTGGAAAGCAAATAAGGTGATCTTTCCACGACGAATGAGGGCTCTACGGCTTTATGTAAAGATTACCTATCATTTATAACCTACTATATTACTTCATTTAGCCGCTCTTGGAGCAAGCTAAAGAATAAAGAGAAGTCTTCTTATTGAATCTCTAAAAGTCTATTTCCAAAGCACATTGTTTTTAATCGTAACAGGACCGAGTGTCTGAAGGCACGTTTAGAGCCTTGGTGCGTACATCTATGTGTGTAAAGGGCTTGTGCTTAATAAACAAGCCTCTATCAGAACTTAAATTGCTTAAACTACAGAATATGAGATAACTTCGGATTTATCCCATCATGGGGTTTTTAGGTGGTCTAGATAGATATAGAAGCAATGAAATCCTTGAGTGGATGCTTATACAGACTTATCATAGAAATAAATTCCTCTTAACGAGGGTGTTGTCAAATCACCTTCTATCTTGTCCTAACATCACGGTGATACGTGCATGTAACAAAATCGCGCCATGGCCTTGCAGCTAAGGTAGTAATATGCTTGCCTTAGAAACCGGACGTGATGACTTAACAACGGTGCTGATATACTCAGGTAAGACCGAATTTCACTCCACTTTAAATGACGCTCTTTTAATGTGCATCGTATAAGGATCAAACAATTGTACTTATGGATAGTTATAAAAAAAGCAAAGTAAAAGAAAAATCAGAAAAGCGCAAATAAAGAATTTATCTCAGAGATCTCGATTTATCCAATCCATGACACTGCGAAAAGTGATGGCACAATGAATCTAGGACCGAGAAGAATATGAAAAGAATATTCTGATGCATAGAGTAGTCTCAAGCCTTTCACGCCTATCGAAACAGAATGCTGTACGACGCCACAGCTGCAATAATACTCAGATATCTCCTGTCCAAAATGGATACAAGAGCCTGATGTCGTCCAAGGTACAAGTGAGCTCCAAGTTTGTCACTGTAATGGCCACATATGAATGGCAGGGGCGCCAGATAAATAAGCCATTTCTGGGCATTTCAATAAGGATAATTAAAATGATACCTTCAAAAAACGCGAAAGCTGTCAAACGAGGTATAAGCCCTCGAATCAAGCAGCATTTAACCAGGTCTAGGCTAAACATTCAAATTTACACTAGAGATAAGTATAATTAACAGTTATTAAAAGCTGAGCTATTCATAATTAGATGGCTTTGTGAATTAAAAGTGGAATGTTAACACACCCGAAATAATTATAGCTCGCTTTGCATGAATAATAAATGATGCAAAGCAAATGAAACAAAGTTCGTGCTGAGGGCAAACCTCTACAGAAAAAGACGGAGCTTAACCAGATGGAGAAGCCAAACTTGTATTGACTTTATAAATATAATGAGATGTATTCACCCTATTTCGTGTAAGGTGATGAAGGACTGGTAGTAGAATTTTCCCAC